CAAACAAACCAGGCAACAGGTTCAAAAACATGTCTTTTCACACCCTGCAGCGATGCTCTTGAGAGCAATGGCTGCTCCCAAGGCCATTTATTGCCAGCACATTTCCAGCACGTTCTAATGATCATGCCTGACAGTTTATCTTCTTTCTTTTTTCTCCCTCAGGAGCGTTTTGCTCTCTTCTGGTCTTCTTGTAGTCACTGGGTTCCAAGGATTGTAGTCTTGCATGCTCGCGTCTTTCACGTTTCTGCTCTTGTCCTCAAACTGAAGTACACGTGACATCCATCCTTCACCATCTCCTACTTCTGTTTCAGAAACCTCATTGTCAGGCGTTTCGGCAATTGCTTCTGTGCGTTTCGACTTAGACTGGCTCAGCAGTCTGTTCTTCTGGGAAGTTGCCTCTGTTGTCTGCTGTTTTCTCAAAGCGTCGTACGTTTGTTCTTCTCTTCTGTGTTCTGCAACTGCGCTATCTGGAGCAGCTTCTTCCTCTGCGCTTCTTTTTTCTGCTTGCTTTGCTGCATTTTCTGCTTTTTTGTTTTGTTTTGTTTTGTTGCTAAGAGGTCCCTCTTTATTTGTCTTGCTTCTTTACGGAGCTCTTCACTGCGACTCGCTGATTTCTTCTCCCCTTCTCCTTCACCAGCTGGTTTAACATTGGCGCTTGGGTCCTTTTTACATTTTTTTGCAATTCTTTCTCTCCTCAGTTCCTTTTCACCCCCCTCCATAGAGTCACCCTGTGCTGTACTTGCATTGTCTCCATCTTCATCGCAGTCTCCTGCTGCGGCCTTTTCCCTTCCAACAGCTGGGACAGAGCTGAGATGTGGATCATCCTTTTTTTTTTTTTTTTTTTATTTAAACATTTTATTAGGGGTTCATACAACTGTTATCCCAATCCATACACACATCAATTGTGTAAAGCGTATTTGTACATCATTTCTCAAAACATTTTCTCTCCATTTAAACCCCCGACATTAGGTCCTCATTTTTCCCCTCCCTCCCCACTCCCCCCTCCCACATGAGCCCTTGATAGTTTATAAATGGGTATTTTGTCATATCTTGCCCTGTCCGACTTCTCCCTTCATCCACTTTTCGGTTGTCTGTCCCCCAGGGAGGAGGTCACACACAGTTCCATGTAATGGGTTCCCTCTTTCCTACCCATTCTCCCTTTACCCTCCCTGTTTTGCCACTCACACCACTGGTCCTATGGGGCTCATCCATCCTGGATTCCCTGTATTTTCAGTTCCTATCTGTACCAGTGTACCTCCTCTGGTCTAGCCAGTCTTGCAAGATAGAATTCGAGTCATGGTAGTGGGAGCGGGGAGGAAACCTTTAGGAACTAGAGGAAGGTTGTATTTTTCATCGTTGCTACATCGCACCCTGACTGGCTCATCTCCTCCCCGAGACCCCTCTGCAGGGGGATCTCCAGTGGCCTACTAGATGTGGATCATCCTTAAGCAGGTCATGACTACTTTTGCTTTCCCCCTTCATACTCTGACTAACTCGATTTACTTCCTCCTCGTCTTTCTCAGCTTTCTGTCCAGAGGAAAGTAAATGAAAAATTTTTGTGCCTTTGGGTTTTAATTTCTTTACTTCCTCTGGCTTCTCTTTTTCAGCTTTTTTATTTCCCTTGGAATGATGTCATCAAAAGGATTCAATAAAACCTGACAACTTTTTGTTTTGTGTGGATTATGTGGTCTTTCTTCATCGATCTTCATTATCAATGAAATTTCCAATTTTCTTAAAAACCTTTTCATACTAAGCCCTTGTTATCATTCGGTATCTTTGAAGAAAATCTATTAAGACGGTCCCCTTGGGTCTCTCCACCTCCCCACCCCCACCGCTGACAATAGTTTCCACAGCATCCTGAGCTGACCTGTCTTGAATTTAACTGGTCAAGTGGGTCTTCTGGGAAGTCACTGTTTGGATGGAACATTTAAAAAGGCACCCTCACAAAACCAAGACAAGTGTATGACTGGCAGAACTTGCCTGCAGCCATCCCCTGACTGGAGAGACATACCGTATATTCTCGAATATAAGCTGACCCGAATATCTGCCGAGGCACCTAATTTCACCACAAAAACTGCATTCAAAGTGTGCTGAAAAACTCGGCTTATACTCGAGTGTGTAGGTACTTAAGACATTTTGTGTGGAATAAGCCCGAGCACGTATCAGCTGGAAGCAGCGATACATTTTGACTGAACCTCTTCTGTGCTGACTCTTGCAACCGGGAAGTGAGGGGCTGTGGGCCTGGAGCAGGCTAAGTAGGGACGGGTCATGGAAGAAACAAAACCGAAGTAAGTGCTGTCTCTAAGGAAAGGCAGAGGGGGCTGGGATGAGCGTATCACTGCGTGTCTCCACTTGGTTCGGAGACAATTCCGCACACAGAAAATGATTTGAGTGGCGAGTTTCATCATTTTAAATGTGGGACAAGCTAGAGCATTCTAGATGCAGAAGAGAGTAGTTAATTACATTGAAGGAGTACTTTAGAGGGCTGAGGTCGAGTTCCCTGCCAGAGTAGGGTTGAGGAGGACTGGGCTCCATATTCTGATGGGTCATCTAATGTTTTTGATAGAATCTTCTGTTTCCCTCCAGGACCCCTCTTCCCTGGGATAGATCCTGCCAGGTACTTGTAGGGGTGCAGTGACATTTGCTGAACGAGTGAATGAATGCACAGAGGGAAAAGAATCTTCTGATATTAGGAAGAACTGTCTATAAGAAGCAGCTTGCAGTCCACTGTTCGGAGAGGTCCCGTGCTGTAAACCAGAGTTTAATGCAATGAATGACTCTATAAAACGAGGGCTGGGTTGTTCACTCTGCACACAAACGGCATCTGGCTCCTTCGCAGACAGGCTACTGTTCTGGGGACTATGTTGGGAAGCGGGCTACACTCAGGCCTTGACCGTCAGGGGGAGACACACTGACGCCCAGACCGTCAGAGGGAAGAGAAGGTGTGGTGGTGTCAGGGAGTCATAGCGGCCGGCCGCAGGGAAGCTTCCAGAGCAAAAGGGAGGATAATGGAACTGGAAGGCTCCTCTTCGTTGCTCTGTTGTCCCTAATAGTTCCATGGATTCGTCTGACTGAATCCTTCCCCACTTTCTCCCTTCAGTCAGGCTCTATGTAGCCTGTGTATCTGCTTCCCGGCCGTCCCTTACTCTTCTTGCCAGAACTTTCCGGGTCGTCCGGATCTACCTCCCTCTACACCGCAGCCTCCTCAGAGCCCGCGTTTCCAAAGGCAGCAGGAGAGAGCCTAGATGCCTTTGCTCACACGAACATGCCCCCCACCCCTCCAGCTGTCGCCACCCCCCACTTCACTTGTCCAGCTCCATTGTCTAGCGGAGGCGCCTGCCCCCGGCATCACTGCACACGCCCTGCCTTTGCTGCGCACACGCTCCAGCCTCGTGGGAGGATCAGTCTACCCTTCTCACTTCCTCCTCCTCCCCCCTGTTGCATGAGGCATCACTAGTGTTTCTTTGAAGTCCAACGCCAAGGACAGTGCCAGAACCTTGGAAGGAGAAAAAACGGCCCAGACTTGGCACAAGGGCACACAATTAATATTCTTTTAATGGTTGAATGATATAATTGAATACATAAAACAGGATAAAATGCAGTGCCATCCATTATATGAAATCGTAGTTGGGAACCTAGAAATGCAGTTACCCAAGGCTCTCCTGCCCTCTAGTGGCAATAACATGGCTTGCAGCCAAGGTTCAGAAACCAAGAACCCAACTAACTCCCTGCCGAGTCGATTCTGACTCACAGCCGCCCAATAGGACAGGGTAGAAGTGCCTCTGTGGGTTTCTGAGATTGTAACTCTTTACCGGAGTAGACAGCCTCGTCTTTCTCCCTTGGAGCAGCTAGTGGTTTCGAACAGTTGACTTGTAGATTAACAGCCCAACTTGTAACCACTAGGCCACCAGGGCTTCTCCATGTTTCGAAGGAGGAATCAATTCAGGGCAACTGAA